TGAGTTTTATAAATCACAATTGAATTTAAGAATATCAAAATAAAAAATTTTATAAAGTAAAAACATGTTTATTATATTAAAGTTATATTCAGAAATTTAATATAATTTTATTATTATTAGTTATTTAAATTTAATCATAAAAGTTAAAGTTAACATTTTTATTTATTTATTATTACATAAATTAATAAATTTTAATATAATAATATATAATTAAATGATAATTTAAAATGTTTTTACACTATCATAATATTAATTTCTATTTAAAAATGATGATCAATTCCTTTGTTTAATGTCAGAAATCTTTAAGTCTTAAAGGTTCAAGACTAACCCTTATTTATGGGTTTGTAACTACTGTTAACTCAAGATCAAGAGAAATTTACATGTAACAAAGTTTAAACATAAATTTTCGGTTAAATAAATTAACTACATACATATAAGGCACATAAATGCACATCAAGTCTTATATCTTTGCGTTAATTTTTTAATTATAATCTATGCCTTTAAGGTATAATTAAAAAATAAAAAGTAAAATTATATAATTAAAATAAAATCAATTATATTTATTTATTATTATACAGTAAAATTTATTATTATTAAGATCTATAATATTTAAAGTTATATATAATATTAATAGTTACACTTTAATATGATTTAAAAGATATTTATTTCATAAATTTCAATGCATGATAAGATTTGAAAAAATATATTTTCAATGCATAATATGATGATATCGGCCACCAAAATCTTTACTTAAAGATCTTAAAAACAATAAAAATATTCTTTCTTTTATCCTGCAAAGTTATCTGCCTTCAGTTCGTAGCCAGCTTAGGTTTTTGGGTCCAGTTTCTACCATACTGCTATTAAGAACAGTTTTGTCTGAAAAAAAATAATAAAAGAAATGAAAAGTACAGCTTCGGACATAATCTCCTGCCATATGACCATAGCGATCTTGACAACACACGTGTCTCACATGCACAAAAGGTATATACAGAAAATACACAACTTGCATTGCATGCAAGAGGCAAGTCAACGCCAAATGCAATTTTATTTTAAAATAAATATATACTTTAATAATAATTATTTTTAAAAATAATTATATATATAATAAATTTATTTTTACTAATAATTTAAAATATTTTAACTTGATTTTATAATTGTGAATAATAAATATAAAATGATAAATTTTTAATAAAAGTAAATAATTTAAAATAATAATTTTTTATAGTGTTAAAATATTTTTTAATTAATATCAAATATTAATATATTATTAATAACTATAAATTTAAGATATAAGACTTTTTTTATGTTTTGTTAACAAAAAGGGGCTAAACTTTTAAAAATACAAAGATTAGGACTTCACTTTGGAGGTGTATGATCGCGAGTGTCGGAACAAATTAATAAAAATTGAATTGCATAAAAATTATGTAGTAAGTGGTGCAATCTGAGTCATCTCCCAACAATGATAACGTTATACGATTATAAAATTTTTAGAGGGAGTTTGATTTATAGAATAACTAATTAGAATCAAACGTTAAAAATAATTAAAAACTCTAATCCAAGAATTTAGAAGAACTACGACCACTCTATCACCGGATTCCAAGAAGATGCATCAACCTACAAATTAGTTATTAACATTAAATTCGAATGAAACCTCAATTCAAATTAAGCATTTACACAAGAACCCTCATGCATTCGATTAACACACAATTCGCTCAAAGTTCAGAAACTTCTAGAACCTAATCGATTTGTGTTAATTTAATTCACCAATGCCATTAATCTTAGATCTCAAACCTGAAAATCTAATTCACACTCCTTCAAGAATTAATTACATACATCAATCAAATAATATGTAATCAAACAACTGCACAATTATCAATCCAAATGAAGAACTTCAATTCAAAATCATAATTAGCAAAAGGAGAAAGAAGGAAGAGATGAAACCGAATTTGTTGTTGAATAAATTGCAAAACCGATCCTCAAGAGTGTCTCAGTCCTTTTTCAATCCTTGGACTAGATGGAAATCTAATCCTCCATGGATGGAGGGAAACAAGTCGTAAAAGGGGAGAAAAAAAAATGAGAAAGAGAAGAGAGAAGAAGAAGAGAGGAGATGAGCCAAAAACAACTTAAAATTCAAAATTCAAAATTCAAAAATTCTGTTCGTCACTTTGTTCCTTTTTTTTTAGCTATGAAAACGGCCTCTTTTTGGTTCGTGGCCTGAAGGACAATTGTATCCTTGGATGTTAGCTTCAAAACGCCACTGGAATGGTCTTAATCGGACATCTGTGGACTGAGATATGGCCCAAATACTGCACCTTGCTCAGGATCCGCGACTGCAGCGTTTCGACTTTTTCCAGGCCCAGTTTCAGCTTCTTATCATCGAAATTGGTTTCTGAACTCTCATAGGAATTGTGCACCTTTATCTTAGCTTTCCTACAAATCAAGAATCACAATTAAAGGAGTTCTAACACTCAAGATATGGTCCAAAAACCAAAACAGTATCAGAATTTGCCAAATACTGAAAAAATTAAATAAAGTCCAAATAAAATTCAAACATCATAAAATGATCCAATTCAACCAATTAGGCACAAAAGAGGATTAATGAGCTAGGAATTAGAGAAAATAATGTTATAAAAATCTAATTGATCAGTGTACATATCTGGAGAGTCCAAATTTAATAAGGGTCAAATACATAAAGAAGTTCTATTAAAACAAGAGAAATGAATGCACATCTCAAGACCTATTTTAGCAAGCATATTAGCACAACAATTAGCCTCCCTTCACATATGACTAAATCTAATAAATTTTATGCTCTTAAGCAATTGCCTAATGCTATGAATTAAATAATACAAAGTATGAAAATAGTTTTGGATAGTAAGAACTAAGGATATGACCTATTTAGAATAACTCTCAATTCAAATAGTAGAAATATCTTTTTGAATGACCAGCTAAAGGCTAAAATATATGCCCCACAATTTAGCTGCAATAGGAGAGCAAACTTCCAAGCTTGAGAAGAAACCAGTAGCAAACTACCCTTCATCATTGTGGATGAGGCCACAATGGCCAGCAAAGAAGAAAAGGAGACATCATCATCAATATAAAGTTTCAGTTGTTGAAAAGGAGAAGGAACCCACCTAATTTGGAATTGGTCATCTGCAAAAGTGAGAGTAGCCTTAGATTTTGATGTGTGTATAAATTGTATTTTCATTCATGTTTAGTTTAGGCCATTTGCATACATTATTGCATTGTTTGGTTGATTTTATCATGCATTATCTTTGTTTCAGATTACACAGTTGGTTTGCTTGTTTTTTCTTGTAAGTAAGTGTTTTAGGTGCTTAAATTATGGTTTGGAGGGAGCAAGTATCAAGTTGGAAAAAAGACAGAGCGAAGAATTAAAATCAGAAGATTCCAAAACTAAATTGTGGATCGCTCAGAAACATCCACAAGCAGGCTGTGGATTTTTCCATGCCTGTGGAAAGGTGCCAGAAATTGAAAAGTCAAGCCAGAGGATTCCACAGGCAGGTTGTGGATTTTTCCATGCCTGCGGTTCGATAAGTTACAACTGTTAACATATAAATAAGAGGAGAATAACAAAAGAACGAGGGGACGAGGAGATTACTTGGATGAGATCAATTGCTTCATCATCTGATTTTCGGTTTTTATTTTTACATTATGCATAACTAAATTCCTTTGTGTTAGAGGATTGATGTAGTATTCAGGATTATATGTTCTGAACCCTTTCCATTGCTGTTAAGTAATTTTAATTATTTCAGTGTTTTATCTCTGTTTATAATGATTATTCTTTGAGCAATTTTACAATTGGAAGATTGGGGATTGTTTGCGATTAGAGATAGAACAGATTAGAATTTGTCACAATTGGGAAATTGGGCATACTTAATTAGTTTTCATATGAGTTGATAATTGTTCCTCACGATTCTATTGAATTTCGTAATTATCCTAAGGAATTAGGGATTAGGATTCAATGAACAGATTTACTTGCCTAAGGAATTACAGGTAAACAGCTCTCAATCAACTCAAGAGGATAATTATAATTCTTGCATCAGTTAAAAAGGGTAGGAATCTATAAGAAAGAATATGAAATCAATTCTCTAACATTTTTATATTGATTAAATTTTTGTTAATTTTATAATTACGCTGAATTGATCAGTTTTTTTGATTTCTCAAACTTGACGTAAATTAGTAATCTAGTACTTAACAATTTCAATCCCTGAGGACGATAATTTTATTACTACAGTAACGATTGGTACACTTGCCATACGTACAACAAGTTTTTGGCGCCGTTGCCGGGGATTGAATTTTCAGTTGATATTAGTGAGCTAATCGACTTGAGATTTGAGTTGTAGATTTTAGAGAGTTCATATTGTTCTATTTTTAATTTCTTAATTTTTACTTCAATTTTTGTTATTTTCATTTTTTTTTTTTGTATTTTGTTCTTTAAGTTGTTTATGCGAGTTACTGTTGCTCCGGAAGATTTGCTTTTTGATCTAGAAATTGAACGTACTGCTAGAAGGAATAGAAGAAGTGCAAGAAGAAGAATGAGAGAAAGAGCAAGACAAGAAGCATTAGCTGACGAAGCAGAGCAAGAATCACCAATGGCAGAAGAAGCTAGTAATGTGAGAAGGACCCTGAGGGATTATTCTATGCCAGATCTTAATTCTTACAGAGGGAGTATTGTGAGGCCTCCTATTCAAGCCAATAACTTTGAAATTAAGCCTGCACTTTTACAAGTCATCCAACAAAATCAGTTTGGAGGTACAGCATCAGAGGATCCAAATTCTCACTTAGAGAATTTTCTTGCAATTTGCGACACCTTGAAGATCAATGGAGCTACTAATGATGCAGTTCGCTTGAGGCTTTTTCCTTTTTCATTACGGGATAAAGCTAAGAGTTGGCTTCAATCACAACCTCAAGGGAGTATTTCTACATGGGATGATTTGGCTACTAAATTTGTGAACAAATATTTTCCTCCATCCAAGTCAGCAAGAATGAGAAATGAGATTACTAATTTTGTGCAACAAGAGTCTGAGTCCTTATATGAGGCATGTGAAAGGTATAAAGACCTAATTCGGAAGTGTCCTCATCATTCTTTACCAGATTGGCTACAAGTGCAAATTTTCTATAATGGCCTTTCACCCTCTTTTAAGGCGATATTGGATGCAGCAAGTGGAGGGTCATTTAATTTGAAAACACCAGAGGAAGCCTTGGAGACTCTTGAATTGATGGCAAATAATACAGTGAACATGCAATTTGATCGCCAAAATAGAAGAGGTGGAGTACTGGAGGTTAATACTTTGGATGCTATTCTAGCACAGAACAAGCTTTTAACACAACAAATTACTAATTTGACTCAGTAGTTGGGTAGTATGCAGGCTAAAGCTGTTAATATATCTTCCTTGGTGTGTGACTTTGTGGAGGAACGCATCAAAATGGTGAATGTCAAACCACTCAACAAGAGGCACAAGTTAATGTAGTAGGGCAACAACAGAATCAATATTCCAATAACTATAATTCAGGTTGGAGAAACCCACCAAATAGACCTTGGGGTGGGTCAGGACAATCTAACCAACCAAGGCCTCCATATCAATATCAAGCACAATCTAGCAATCAAGGGAGCAAGATGTCTACTTTGGAGAGTGCTTTAGAGAAGTTATCCTTGCAAACCTCTACCTTTGTGGAGCAAACTTCCAACTTCATGAATGACACTAGGACAAATTTCAAGAACCAGGAAGCTTCAATCAGAAATTTGGAGAATCAGATTGGTCAAATGTCAAAACAACTTTCAGAGAGATCTCCTGGTAAATTTCCCAGTGACACCGTTCCTAACCCAAGGGAACAATGTAAAGCAATTCAATTGAGGAGTGGAAAGGTGTTAATTGATGAGAAAAACCGTGAGGTGGAAGGAGAGAAAAAGAAAGAAAGTGGTGATATAGAAGTGATGAAAGAAGAAAAAAATGATGAGATAAATTGTGAAAAAAAGAATGAGGGAGATAATAGTCAGGCAGGTGAGAATGATAAAACAAAAGTTTTTGTTCCTACTGTTCCATTCCCTCAAAGGTTGAAGAAAAAGGAGCAAGAGAAGCAATTTGCAAGGTTTCTTGACATCTTCAAAAAGCTCCACATCAATATTCCTTTTGCTGAAGCATTGGAACAAATGCCAAGCTATGCCAAATTCATGAAGGATTTGCTATCCAGAAAGAGGAAGCTTCAAGAAGATGAAATCATAATGCTCACAGAAGATTGCAGTGCAATAATTCAAAAAAAAGTACCTCCCAAGTTGAAGGATCCAGGAAGCTTCGTAATCCCATGTGAGATTGGAAATTTAATGGTTGGTAAGGCATTGTGTGACCTTGGAGCAAGCATCAATTTGATGCCCTTGTCTATTTTTAAGAGGTTGGGTATTGGAGAAGTGAAGCTTACTATGATAACTCTTCAACTGGCAGACCGTTCAGTGACTTATCCTTATGGAGTAGTGGAGGATGTCTTAGTAAAGGTGGATAAATTCATCTTCCCAGCTGACTTTGTGGTGCTTGATATGGAGGAAGATTCTAAAGTCCCAATTATATTGGGAAGACCATTTTTAGCCACAGGGAGAGCATTGATTGATGTACAGCAAGGTAAGTTGATGTTGAGAGTGGCGGATGAAAAAGTTACCTTTTCTATAAATGAAGCTTTGCAGCACTCGATGGACAAGGAGGATTGTTTCCGGGTAGAAATGGATGATTCTCTTATGTTAGAGGAGATGGGAAAATATATGAGGAAGAGTCCATTAGAGGGAGCCTTGCTAACAGAAATGGGAGCAAAGGAGCTGAGTGAGAAAGTGAATGACGAAGAGGTGGTGGACTGTGTTTACCAATTAGAAGCTCTTAAGCCAGTATTTACTTCCAAAAGAGGGGTTGAAGAACTAAACAGAGATGAGGGAAGAATGGAAGAGACATCAAAGATAGAATTAAAACCACTCCCTTCCCACCTGAAATATAGGTTCTTAGATGAGCAGAAGCTTAACCCTGTAATTGTAAACAATGAGTTGACAAGTGTTGAGGAATAGAAACTTATGAGGGTATTAAGAGAGCACAAATCTGCATTGGGTTGGGTTATTAATGATTTGAAAGGTATTAGTCCTACTGTTTGTATGCATAAAATTTTTATGGAGAAGGATTTTAAACCGGTGCGTCAACCGCAAAGGAGGCTCAACCCAACTATGAAGGAGGTAGTGAGAAAAGAGGTTATTAAGCTTTTGGATGCAGGTATAATTTACCCAATTTCTGATAGTGAGTGGGTTAGTCCTGTGCAAGTTGTACCCAAGAAAGGTGGTATGACGGTAGTGATGAATGAGAATAATGAACTCATCCCAACTAGAAAAGTTACATGTTGGCGTATGTGTATTGACTATCGAAGACTTAATCAAGCCACAAGGAAGGACCATTTTCCACTACCTTTTGTTGATCAAATGCTAGAGAGATTGGCTGGGCATGAGTATTACTGTTTTTTGGATGGCTATTCTGGTTACAACCAGATTGCAGTGGCTCCTGAAGATCAAGAGAAAACAGCCTTTACATGTCCTTATGGAGTCTTTGCATACCGGAGAATGCCATTTGGTCTCTGCAATGCACCTGCTACATTTCAGAGGTGTATGTTTTCTATTTTTTCTGATTTAATTGAAAATTGCATTGAGATCTTCATGGATGATTTTTCTGTATTTGGTTCTTCATTTGATTCTTGCCTTACTAACCTGACTTTAGTGTTAAAAAGATGCCAAGAAACTAATTTGGTGCTTAACTGGGAGAAGTGCCACTTCATGGTAAGAGAAGGTATTGTCCTAGGTCATCGAATTTCTGCTAAAGGTATTGAGGTAGATAGAGACAAGATAAAGGTAATTGAACAATTACCTCCTCCTGTGAATGTTAAAGGGGTTAGAAGTTTTCTAGGACACGCGGGTTTTTATAGGCGGTTTATCAAAGATTTTTCTAAAATAGCTAAGCCTATGACTAATCTGCTTGAAAAAGAAGCTCCTTTTAAGTTTGATGATGCATGTTTGCAAACATTTAACACCGTTAAGAAAAAACTTATTTCTACTCCTATTATTACGGCACCTGATTGGTCTTTACCATTTGAAATTATGTGTGATGCTAGCGATTATGCTGTAGGTGCTGTATTGGGATAAAGGAAAGAAAAAGTTTTTCATGTTATATATTATGCTAGTCGTGTGTTGAATGATGCCCAAAAGAACTATGCCACGACTGAAAAAGAGTTACTTGCTGTGGTGTTTTCCTTTGATAAATTCAGACCTTATCTTGTTGGCTCTAAGGTCATTGTTTATACTGATCATGCTGCTTTGAGATATTTGTTTGTTAAACAAGATGCCAAGCCACGATTGATTCGATGGATTCTCCTATTACAGGAGTTTGATTTGGAAATCCGAGACAGACAAGGGAAGCAAAATTTGGTGGCTGACCATCTTTCAAGATTGAAGATTGATAAGGCTATCAAGGATATCTCAGAAGAGTTTCCCGACGAGAAATTGTTGGCCATTACTTCTTTACCATGGTTTGCTGATTTTTCTAATTTCAAGGCAGCTGGTATAATTCCTCATGACTTTAATTTTCAGCAAAGGAAAAAAATTTTGCACGATGCTAAATTTTATTATTGGGATGATCCTTTGTTATTTAAAAGGTGTGCTGATGGTATAATTAGGAAATGTGTTCCTAAGAATGAGTTTGAGAGTATTCTTTGGCACTGTCAGGGATCAGATTATGGAGGGCACTTTAGTGGGGAAAGGACAGCCTCTAAGGTATTACAAAGTGGATTGTATTGGCCTACCCTCTTTAAGGATGCTCGTAGTTTTGTTGAGAGGTGTGATAGATGTCAAAGAGTGGGGAATATTTCAAAGAGGAATGAGATGCCCTTAAATAATATACTTGAAGTAGAAATTTTTGATGTTTGGGGTATGGATTTTATGGGGCCATTTCCTTCTTCTTTTTCAAACCAGTACATTTTAGTTGCTGTAGACTATGTGTCTAAGTGGGTAGAGGCTAATGCATTACCAACAAATGATGCTAAGGTTGTGGTTTCTTTTATCAAGAAACACATTTTTACTAGATTTGGTGTGCCTAGAGCAATCATTAGTGATGGAGGTTCACACTTTTGCAATAAGCAATTGGAGTTACTCTTAGGCAAATATGGTGTGAAGCACAAGATAGCTACCCCTTACCATCCACAAACAAGTGGTCAAGTAGAGATTTCCAATAAGGAGTTAAAGAGAATTTTAGAGAAAGTGGTAAGTTCTACTAGAAAGGATTGGTCTAGGAAACTAGATGATGTGTTGTGGGCTTACCGTACTGCTTTTAAAACTCCTATTGGAATGTCACCATATCAGTTGGTGTATAGGAAATCATGCCACTTACCTGTAGAATTAGAGCATAAAGCATTTTGGGCTACTAAATTTCTAAATTTTGACTTAAAGAATGCAGGTGAAAGAAGATTGTTACAATTGGATGAGCTGGATGAGTTTAGATTGCAAGCATATGAAAATGCTAGGATCTATAAAGAGAGAACCAAAAAATGGCATGATAGGAGAATTGTGGTTAAAGAGTTTGTACCTGGCCAACAAGTGTTGTTATACAATTCTAGGCTCAAATTATTTTCAGGTAAGTTAAGGTCTCGCTGGTCAGGTCCTTTTGTTGTTCAACAGGTATTTCCCTTTGGTACAATTGAAATTTCAGACCTTAAATCAGAAAGACACTTTAAAGTTAATGGTCAGAGATTGAAGTTGTACCTAGGGGGTGATTTTGAAAGAAAAAAGACCACTGTTAATTTAGCATCATTATTTGAAGGTGAAAAAAAAAATTAAATTGAAAAAATAATAAAATAAAAAAAACACAAAATAAAACAAAAAAACACACAAAATTTTGAAATGAATTTTTGACAGAATGTTCCACAAGTGAGGCATGGAATTTTTCACACTTGTGGTTTTCTAAGGTATTTCTAAAAAAAAAAAAAAACCTAGTATAATTCTTTTTTTCTTCTTCTCCATTTCACACTCCCAACTGCCGTCACACACAGCCCTTACATCACCCACCACGGACCATCACCAAAAAGTGCAGCCCAACGTCGCCATAGCTGTCCCAGCTACACTAAGTACCTTCATCTTCCCACAAACAATCCTATTCCATGGTATTTTTAGTCATTCATTATTTGGTGTTGTGGGTTTGTTGCATTCAACTTATTTAAGTGTGGGGCATTTCAGTTTTTGGGTTTTATTTTGTTATTCTTCCTGTTATTGAGTCGTACAAGGGCTGAGATTTTAACATCACCATTGGCTGCTTTAGAACTTTTTGCTTTATAAGTTGACAATGTCTCACAAAACAGTGGCAGTGAAGAGCAAAGGAAAACGTCCTCGTCATCCGCCCCCTGAAGAAAATCCCCATGGTATTGTATTTAAAAATGAGGAGCAAAGGATGCGGTATACTTCTTTGTCTAAGAGGATCATATTGCCTACAAGGTATTTTGATGAGAACACTTTAACCACTTTGGGCATGTTAGAGGAAGTGAATTGGTTGTTAGGTAGACTTGGTTGGGATAATTTTGTTAATCTGAAATACCTTGTTTATGAAAGGATTACCATTGAATTCCTTAGTTCAATTAATGCAGAGATTATACAGGGTAAAAATTGTACAGCTGGGCTAATCACATTCAGATTGCATAATAGAGATCTAGCCCTCACTTTAGCTGAATTTAATTCCATATTTGGGTTACCATGTGGGTGTGAGAGGAAGTATCCCCGTGAATTTATAGCTTCATCATTTTGGTGCAAATTATCTGGCTCTAGTGATTTTGTTTCCTCTGAATCTAAGGAGTCCCACATCCATAATCCATGTTTCCGGTATGTTCATCGTCTCATGGCCCATACTATATTTGCTCGTGGTGATAGTAATGCTGCTGTTCGAAAATCTGAGTTGTTACTTCTGTGGGGTATGGTTCATGCTGTTGATTTAGATTCAGGTTCTTGGCTGGCACGACAGTTTACTAAGGTAGGGAAAGCTTTGTCAGGTCAAATAGCTATTGGGGGGTTAATCACTCCAATTGCACGTCATTTCAACATTCCGCTAAATGATGACAAGCCAATTTTAGGCACTTCGAGAATTGATTTGGAAATGTTGGTCAATAATGAGATGCTTGTTAAACGGGATGATCATTATTGTTTAGTGATGTGTGACACTTTGGAGATGCCTCCACCTCCTCTCCCTAACTCTGAATTCACCACTGTGCGTGAAAAGACTTGTTGGACATTTGCTCATTCTGATTTTCAAGATGATCCTACTGAGTTTCCTGGACAGTCCTCTGAGTATTCATTCATTCCCACTGGTCCTTATGTTGGTGACTTCTCTCGGCTCCATGAGTCCATTGCCGCACTACAAGCCCAGCAAGAAAGGCATTACAATGAGTTTGTGGAATTTCGCGATACACAACTCCTTTACCAACAAACTATGGAACAAATGATGCAGGAAACTTTGGCTCTGCTTTGCTCTCATATGCCTTGATTTTGTGAGTTTTCTTTCCCCTCTTCTTTATTTTGTTTCCATTGGAGACAATGTAAATATTTAAGTCTGGGGAAGTTTTATGCATCTATTCTTTCTTTATCCATCATCTTGCATCATTGTGCATTTGCATAGTCATATACATTGCACTCATAAAATAAAAAATTAAATGAAAAATAAAGGGTTATTTAAATGCTTGCATATGTGTTGAAATGGGAATTCATTCTCTTAACCATAAGTTCTAAGTTTGTTCAATGATATTTTCTGAGCACTATTGATATTTGGTTTATGATTACTTGTTGGGAAAATTCACACAAAACACAATGATCTTGGTACTATGACACTTAAGGAAGACTTTTAATCTATTTAAATAAGGCATACGAAGTTTTAGGTTTCTATGGTGACACTCACTGCATTTGGTTACTGGAGAATTGTCTGCCTTATAAAAAAAAATGGTTCTAAAGCTAACTAAACACCTCTTTGAGGTCATAGGTCACTGGGGAAATACTGT